GTTGATATGTTGCCAAAATGTTAAGACTTTTAGTCGACTAAAACTAAATAGGATAAGGTTGACTAAATATGATAAAAACTAACAAGGACATTTAACTCAGGACTAAGACAAAGACTAACATTTAAAATAGCTGATAAAATTAACACTAGTTACATTTTTATTTTTCAGAATTCCCTGAGGAACAAAGTTAAAAAAACTTAATTTATTTGAAATTGATTTTTTCTAACATTACAAATGCCTTCAATGCCAAATTTCTCAATTGAATGGATCCTTGATGAATTTTTCTTTAAATTGATTTTTTTAAAATTGTACTGACTTAAGACTTATGAACAAATGTGGGATTCCTAATGTTAAATTGATTGACTTTTTGACATTTATTTCTGTGTCAAAAGTGGCACAATATAGTATATCATAAAAGAAAAAAGTAAGAAGATGAGAGTGAGAGTGAGTAACGATAAATGATGATAACATTTTAATTTTAAGGTCAACATCTCAAGTCTTTTTAATTGAGTCACGTTCAACAGGCACGACATCACTGTTCTGAGACTGACTTCTTCTTTCATGACTGTCATTGAGGAAATGACTTTTTTGAGGCAGGTCTGAAAAGGCCAAAACCAGACCAATCTAGATAGTGTCTATCTGTGAGTTAATGCACACTTGCCTTCAAAGAGAATCACAGACTACTAATCTGTGTCATTATCAGGAATCATAATGTCTTATCTTTTCAGCACTGCAATTAACCCTACGTTGATTAACATCAATAACTCTCCTAGAGGACACAAAATCATTATATTACATTACTTCAATCCCTCGCAATCCCCTTTCATTTGCTTATGCCCATGTTAGAAGGAAAAATGGATGTTCTGCTCACCCTCCTTCCTCTTGAAACGCAGGTGGTGTGATTATGCCAGCTCTGTTGTCTGCTGTCAGCTATAGCTTTAGTTCACACATTTCCTATGTAATATAACAGTATAAATAAATCCTAACCAAATCTGTCTATTCCCCTGTCTAAATATTCACAGGTCTAAATGTTTCTAACAGGGTTTAATGGAATTCATCGAAATGTTAGACTGTTGTTATTCGCGAGTTCTCTGGCTGTCAGGGTGTGTACACACCAGCGCGCCATTGTGAGATCAGGGAAAGAATTAAGAGCCGGTTTTCTTCTCTGCATGACAAATTCAGCTCGCTTTTATCCATAAGGGGGTTCAACCACGGTAAATTTGTGAGAATGTGTCAAAGGATGTTCACTTCAAGGTGAAATGAATGCCTGGACTAATCCCTTTGTACATACACATTATTAATTAAATATCAAAATATCTTCCTTTATGTTTCACAGAAGAAACAAAGTCATAAAGGTTTGGCATGAGGGGGAATAAATGATGACTGAATTTTCAGGATTTTCAGGTGAGAAAATCACATTTTTATCAAAAACTACATCTGGATAATATTCAGTACGATTATCAAAGCATAAATCCAGTAAATCGCTTCCATCAACACCTCCAAAGCTTGCACAGACATATACCACTTCCTGGATCAACATTTTACTCTGTAACATTATGCAGTTTTCATTTATATGATGTCTATTGCTGGTGAACGCATTATTTTTCATATGCATCTGTTTACATAAGAGATCGCTAGTTTCTCCATCCTGTTCACGTGTGTTTTTGTTCGGGAGGTTTTGTACTCGTTCAGAAGATGCGTAATGGTGCCCCCGAGCGTATAACAGTGAAAACACGGAAAACCATAAAAACTCGTCTTTGGCAGGGAAGCGTTTTCTTGCAAAAGACGAGATAACTCGTCAATGGCGTGGAAAGAGTTAAAATGCACAAATTCACATTATTTCACATTAACCCCAGTTTGAGAAACTTTGATGTAATGTTTAATGCACTTCATGTTGTTAAAGGGATAGTTCACCCCAAAATGAAAATTCTGTCATTAATTACTCACCCTCATGTCGTTCCAAACCCTTAAGACCTTCGTTCATCTTTGGAACACAAATTAAGATATTTTTGATTAAATCTGAGAGCTGTCTGACCCTGCATAGACAGCAACGCAACTGCAATGTTCCCAGTCCCAGAAACATAGCAATGACATCGGTAAAACAGTCCATGTGACATCATTGGCTCAACTTTTCAATTTTGCCAAGCTACGAGAATACTTTTGTTAACATCTTCCACCATTTTGGAGAGTACCACGACACATGTGCATGCTTTCCCCAGAACGTAATCAATGTAATCAGCATTGTTTACGTTCAGCATGCGCGCGTTTTCTCCTGAACGTAAACAACGCTGATTATGTTGATTACGTTCTGGGGAAAGCATGCACATGCATCGTGGTACTCTCCAAAATGGCAGAAGATGGTAACTCGGGGAGAAGAATTGTTGAATAAATTATGTATTTTTGTTTTCTTTCTTGTAGCTTTGCAAAATTGAAGTTGAGCCACTGATGTCACATGGACTGTTTTACCGATGTCCTTACTATGTTTCTGCAGGGTCTGAGAGCTCTCAGATTTCATCAAAAATATCTTAATTTGTGTTCCGAAGATGAACGAAGGTCTTACGGGTTTGGAACGTCATGACGGAGAGTAATTAATGACAGAATTTTCATTTTTGAGTGAACTAACCCTTTAACTAACCCAACAAATGGAATATATGTTCTTACTCTTTGTGTTTTTATATCAATATGGTACAAGATTATCCTATTTAAATCAATATGATAAACAAGTTAGGTCAAAAGTAATCTAAAATTAGTCGGATTATATTACCTAAAATGTATAAAGTAATGGATTACATTATTAACTACAAATTTTGTCATATAATTTGGAATACAATTTGTAAGTAATCTACCCAGCTCTGGCTGCCTATATAGAGAGAAGACATTAAGGCAGCTCATATGTATTATATCCAATTTACATGAAACGATATATACTGTATAGCAAATCTCAATTTTTTTATAAAGTTGGATAGATAGAAGTATGTCAAACTATATGTGCATACATGCATACTGTATAATTACCAAGGGTGATATATTCTGTATACCATATCTCAACTGCTTGATTTTCACCCAGCTCTAATCTGCTAATGCAACTATAAAGCATGAAGATACAGAGTTAAGATATTATAAACTCTAACATCATGATTTTCTGTAAAGCTGCTTTGAAACAATGTGTAAATATACAAATAAATTTGACTTGGCTAGGTTTTGGGATGGTGCCTGAATCTCCTCCTTGTATCAGAAAGTCGACCTAACAAGCTGTATTCAGACCATGTTCCCCTTAGCACTGTGTTTATATGATTACGTCACTACTTCATTCACCAGAGGGGCCACAAATGAGACAAGATGAGAGGTCAGGGGTCACGGCCACTGCACACTCCAGAGCAAAAGTCAATTCCATTTCACCCACAATTCTATTCACAGGAAAAGTAATTTAGTTGATCCAATCCCGAGCAAAGGAACGTCCTATTCCGAGTTCATTTCCAGGGAAAACCCTGATGTAGACCAGAGTTGAATAGAACTTGTCACATTTTTATATTGTGGCTCTTCCTTGTGCTCTGGAAATGCAGTTTACTCTGTTAGTACTATATGTAAATTGCTGCTTAAATCACCTGCAAATTCCGACAGACATTTTATGACTGTAAGCAAAGAGTGTGCTCCTTTAACAAGTATAAGACGGCTTTTGCTATTTGAACTCAAAGCATTTCCATATGTTTATCTCTGAGAGACTAACAACCCTCAGGATGTATTATTACCGGAGGAACATTTGTTAATCTACTGACGGGAGCACTGGCATAAAAATCATACCTTGATGTTCCAGGCTTGTTTTTCGCTCCAGCTGAGGCTTAAAATGCTCTGCCTGGTGTTTGACAACATTAAAGAGGGCATGTTTTGAGCAAAAAAGTGTGAAGCCCCTTTCGAACGGTCCCTTTTTCAAAGCCTGAAAAGATATAAACATGCTTAGCATGCAATATTTGAACAGTAAATAGAAGCGTTTTAAAAAAATCTTATTAACATTTATGTTTCTTGAGGCAGAGGAGAGCTAGATGAAGCAGGACTCAACAATTAAGCAGTGTGAGAGAGTTTTAGGCCATTCAGTTGGTCACATGTTCCTACAGTCCAATGATTTGCTGATCATGTGCATGATTTTATGCCTTGCAAACATAAACATTTGGTTTTCTGTGATGTTTTAAACATTGTTTTGCGAATTATGCACATCACCAAGGTAAACGTTTTGGGCAAAACTGGTACAGTGTTTGTATTACTGTACAGTGTATTCCATTGTTTGTTTGTTTTTAAGGTTTAAATGTTCAATAAAAAAAATAGTTCTTATTAATACTGCTAAAATATGTTTCTAAAAATAAAAATAAAATGCACTGTATTATTATATAATAATATTTAATATCATATTTTTACTGGCCCAAATTCTTATTGTTGACCACTCCACTATGGAGAACAAACACAGATTATAATGTTCCATAATACATCTTAATACACACATACATATTCAAGCTGATATGCTGAGTTTGACCATCAGTGCAAACGTTCATGGCTCCAATCAACACAGGCACTCACCAAAGGTGTGAGAGCTGTCTTTTTATAGAGATGTGTTAGTATGTTGAATCATTCACACCTACGCTTTAGACTCCTGGAGTCCTGGCATACTGGCTATGGGCGGCCACTTGCCTTCGATCCAGCATGCTGCTCAAATAGCAAGTTGAAGATGAATACAATCTCAGTCCAATTACGCCATAGTGCTGTATTAAACTTAATAAGACGTGATTTTAATATGACTTTACAACATCCTGCAATGTTGCACACCTTAGTCTATGATTATGTTATTTATTTAAGAGTTTTGGAGATTTTGGTCTTTCCTTATTCGAGCATATTACAAGATATATGTATATACCTGTTAACTACAGTACATAGAAAATAACCAAAATGGCCACTGAATTGATTTATCTTGAAAGGACTTTGGCTAACTGTACTTTCTTCTTCCTTTACAGCTTTCTTTTGCAGCCACAACTCCTGTCCTGGCAGACAGGAAAAAGTATCCAAATTTCTTTAGGACCGTCCCATCAGACAATGCTGTGAACCCTGCTGTAGTGAAGTTTCTCAACTATTACAACTGGAGCAGAGTGGGAACTCTGACCCAGGATGTCCAGCGCTTTTCTGAGGTATGTTGAGTAAAATAACTTGCCCTATTTCTGAATGTATTTTGAATCACGATATTGTTATTCAGTCCTTAAACTAATGTTAAGAAAATGTTTTAGAGAGTAGATATTATGTTTTCGGTCCTTATTTATTTGAAGGAATATTTCAGAATATTGAAACACTTGGAGTCACTAAACAAAAAATGAAATTTAGCGAATTTAGCTCAATGGGAATGAATGGGGCCAATCCGTAAACATTAAAATACTCAAGCACCATTATATACCACAAATACTGTTCATAAAGATTTACTTCTATTGAACCTGGAATATTCCTTTAAAGGGGTCATGAATTGAGAAACCAAAATTCCCTTGATCTTTTGACATATAAAGCCGGGCTCACACTACAGGAGTTTTAAAATCCTAACCGATTATGAAATCTGGTTGCAGCACACACATAAAGAGAATCTTTGCAGATTATCTTCCCTCAAATCTTAAACATGCACACACTACAAGATTTGAAAATCGTGGCGCATCACACACTACAAGATATTATTAAGATTATCATGCCAGAGGGAGCGCTTCACGTGATCTCACGCAGCAGATCATCATTGATATTTCAGTGATGTTTACATATGTTAGCTAGCGTGCTAGCAGCTTTCTGCACTCACCCAGTATGTTAAAAACTGAGGCCATTTCACCCCAGCGCTTCTCTTTCTCCTTACGGTTGTGAGACAGTCGTGTTACTACAAAACGTCAAGAAGCAGTTTCCTCTGTCTCCACTATCCAACGGAGCCACAGCAGCTGTTTTGTGGTCGCGCATTGGCTATTGTGAAAGTACTGACATAATCATATAGCCGTCATCCTCCCGATTTAAATTCTAAAAATCAAACATGTTTGATATGATCGGGGCGGCCCCGATTTGTGTGCGAGCAGATCGGGAGGTGCAAGATTCGATCTGTGAACGGCTCACATTACCAGATAATCTGCGGCGAACATGAGGACCGATCGAGGTGCTCGACAAGATTTTTGTTCCGATTCTCGGGAGGGGGAAATCGGGGCTAAATCGGGCTAAAAATCCTGTAGTGTGAGCCCGGCTTAAGAGGTCATTGTACTATAAAGTTTCAGAAATCAAAACTTTGTCGTTAGTCTAAAAACAGCTTATATTGAAGGCAGTCTGCCAAAACGACAGCTTTTGGAATGTTCTACTATATGATGTACAGTAATAATGGCAGGATGAAGGCTGACTTTGATTTTTACAAATTTTTTTAATATTTAGGCCTACATATCTAATAAAAAAAATGCAGGGGAAAAAAAACTGTAAATTACTGACTGAATTCTGTATGTTCTTCAATAAAAAATAGTTGTTGATTTTTAGTTATTATTTATTTAAAAATGATTAATAGTTTGTGTTTTTTAACATTTTAAGTTGAATTAGATTATTGTATTGAATATATTTTTAATTTAAAGGGATAGTTCACCCAAAAATTATATGATGGATGGATGCACTTTTTATTTTGCTAAAAAATCTCAACCACCATTCACTGCCATTGGGCTTGGAAGAGCAAGGATAATTTTTAATATAACTCCGATTGTATTCGTCTGAAAGAAGAAAGCCATATACACCTAGGATGGCTTGAGGGTGAGTAAATCATGGGGTAATTTTCATTTTTGGGTGAACTATCCCTTTAAAGTCATCCTGGAGCCCCCTTGGAAATTTGCTGAGATTAAATCAGATCCTGAACAGCATTATAGTTCTGTGTGATATTATTTACACTTTTATTTGCAAAAATACTGAAATGCACTAAGAGTGACAGGCAATATGTATTCATACATGCTGTAAATAAATTGCATTGTCACATTTTTATTTCATTTTAGGGGAAGCCAGCTTTCCCACGCATTCTTAAAACAATTGCTGTTTCTGTGATACCTTCTAAGAGAATTAGTTTTTATTAATCTCTTCCTTTTGTCAGCACATTGTGGTAAAGTTTAAAAGATACATATTTATGTTTTTCAAAACTTTAATATATATTTTAATCTATATGAAGCATATTATTGTTTGAGGCAACCCAGGCTCGTTGGAAATACTTGCCTCTAAATACATTTCTGCAACACCATTATTTACATACCTTACTGCACGTTTTGCGGCAGTTTCTAAATGAAACGTCCAGTGAGTGGCACTAAATTGCGGGTTCATTACGTGGCCCTGGCACTTTTTTGTTATGTTGATATAGGCATGTATTGCTGTGTTTGTATTAGGTTGCTTCAAGTACCTATTGCAGTGGTTCATAATTCAAATATCCAAGGAGTGTCGCTAAAAGTTAATGCTCTATCGTGTTGGAAATATCCCCAACACCAAACCCAACCTTAAACCTACCTGATAGTGTTAAAAACGCATAAAAACGCATTTGTTGATGCAGCTGTGCTATTTTAACTTCCTCATGTGGATTTGAGCTGTTTTGTTGAACTGTAGTTTCACGGGGTTCGTACCGGAGCTCTTCATCACGCAAATGCAACGCCGCATTGCGTGAGCTACCTAGCAAACCTACTGAATTAGAAAACGTATGCATATGAAGCTATATATGTGACGACACGTTCAAAAGTATCAGTTTTCAAATCTCGCAGCCTGTTAAAACATTTTTAAATTCATAACACAATATTCAAGTAATTATGTGAAAATTAGGCTTTATTAATCGAAACTGTGGACCTGCAAATCATACTTTGTGTGAAAAGGAATAAAAGCTGTGAGAGCTTTACTGCCTCTAGTGTTCATTTCAACTGGAAACTGCAGTGATTCACCCCCCCCCAAAAAAGTGCGGCCCCCCAAAAATTTGTGCCTGCCCCCTCACTTTGTGTGCTCTGGCGCCAACCCTGTTCATATGTATAGGTACGTTTTTTTCAGTTCTGCAGAAATGTATTTAGAGGCATGTATTTTCAATGAGCCTATGTTGGTTTGAGGATAGATGGAGAGTAAGTGGTAATGTCATAATCGTTATTTTAAACAAAATAAATATAATGGAAAATTTGTATTTGCTCATTTGTAATAGAACATTTTAGTGATCATATGATTAATTTAAAAAGTAAATATTTTTATTTTTGAGATAAATGGCAAGTAAAGTGGTGCTGATTCTTTTTCTCAGATCGCAACAAAAAGCCAGGGAGACGCCGCACACAACCACTGCTTAACACAATAAATTTATTTTAAAAGGAAAATAAACATGAAATGTAGTCAGTGTAAATGAAAGTCAGTATGTCAGGAAGTATCTATAACGAATACCAATGACATCAGTCCAAGCAAACATCAATAACAAAACTCAAAACCAAACGTCCGATTTAGGGAGAGATGAATCAAGGCGGAAACTTCTCTGGTGCAATGGTGAACTCCCATAACCTCTGCGTCCTATGAGTTATCTGGCAGACTCATGCACCAACGCCAACAACAAACAACTATTCCTCTTCCCTCTCATTGTTCCTGCAAGTCCTTTTTAAGACCAGTTGATTTAGTCCAGGTGCTGCACCACATCAGCCAATCACCTGCAGACAGCCGGTTTCTAACGGACCTGTGACTTGGGAATAAACACAGAGTAACTCACTAAGATGTCTAAAGATTCAGTGTATAAATAAATAAAATAAATAAATAAATAAGCAAGCATTTGCACAGACACTCTGTATCTGAATGAAAGTGTTATGAGTCCGACTCTCTAACCATTAGGCCACGACTTCCCCTGGCTGAAGAGAGTTGTGCTTTTGCCTTTTGGGAGGTAAGGAGCTCCAGTGAGAGTTGTGGAAGGTGTAAATCCCTTTATCTTTGCCTCTGGATGGAGTTGCTGAACAGACACAGAGGGAGAGCCTGATCCCGTCATCAGCCTGCCTGAGGAGGGCACTGGAAGCCTGATTAGCATGCCGGTGTCACGCTCTCTCACCCTCAGCGGTGCCGTACCGCAGGAGAGCTGCCCGCGCTGTGTGATCTGACATTTCAGGAGGAGGTGCATCTGTTGTGTCACACAAATTAGGAGGCACGGATCTGGACTGGCCTTTTTTTGGAGACTTGGGTTGGCTGGGGGTTGCTTGTTTCACTGCGAATTGATATTATTTTTCTCAAAAGTGCCTCAGTCTAATTGCATATATGGAAATCCTTCCTTTAATACTTAGAATAAACAAAGAGGTTTTCGTGTGTGTGTGCGTATGTTGTGTGCATGAATGCTCTGGGTTTCTATCTCAGCTCTCATTCTACTTGTTCCAGTGAAGAAATTTAGCACCTGTCCTGTGTGCTGCTTGATATCTGACACATTGCAGGAGGCTGTCGGTGTTTTGCCTGAGTGTCTATCAATAAGTGGATTAAGAGCTGTTCACACTCTAGCATGAATCACACTCCAGTATGCTGTTTTACAGATTAAGACCCAATCCCCTTTTTATGTGGTAAAAGATTAGATGACTTGGACGCTGATGAGGAATTAAACCCATTTGTCAGGCCTCGCACTTTTGAGGATTGTGTGTGTTTGTTTGTTTGTTTGTATGTATCTACACATAAATTGCTGTGCATCTACAGTAGGTGTCTGTGAGGTGTCAAGGGCTCTCGCAGTCCAGCTCTCATATCTATATACTCACTGTTACTCTATTTGCGCTGACATAAGGTTGGGTTTGAGTCATTTATCTGAATAAATCATGAGTAAATAGATTTTACAGCTTTTTAATGTCCTACATAGAGGTGCACTGAATGCATTGCTTTTTGCATTGAATGCATGAATGTTATTTGAATGTGTGTCCTGTTCATATTTGTTTGAAGTTAATATTATAGTCATATCTATCTATCTATCTATGTATCTATATGTTGTCACGGTACCAACATTTCTGTATTCGGTACCAATACCAGTGATACCAATTCGGTACCAAAGCAAAACACAAAAACATACTAATTAAAAAACACATTATTTTTATTAATAAAGTCAAACAAAAATAAAATGTACAAAAATCAATGCTATTCTTGATACTTATATATTGATACTAAAATTGTAATAAAACCGCAA